GCTGCATTGGCTTGGTCATGGACATCGCCCGCACGTCCATGATTCATGCCCGTGCGCCCCATTTTCTGTGGCCCTACGCGGTTCGCTACGCCGCTCACCAGCTGAACCTCCAGCCGCGCGTCTCGCGGCCAGAGGCTTCACCGACCAGTCTTTGGACCGGGTCCCCTGGTGTTGGGTAAGCTTTTCGTGTCTGGGGCTGCCTTGCGATTGTCCGCGACACCTCTGCGGACAAGCTCTCGGCTCGCGCCGTCCCCTGTGTCTTCCTTGGTTTCCCGGTAGCCTCGGCCGACTGGTCCTTTTACCACCCGCCCCTCCACCAGTTCCTAGACTCCCGTGACGTCCGGTTCGACGAGTCAGTGTCCTACTACACCCGGTACCCCTGTCGAGGTCTCTCGGTTCCCCTTCCCCCCCTTTTCCTCGCACCCTCTCTTCCTCCTGCTCCCGCTCCTCCGGTACCCCCACCCTCCCCTGGTCCTGCCCCGTCAGGTGTGTCTCACGCTACCCCTCTACCCTCGGTCGCGCGTCTGGTAGCGGCTCCCTCCCCGCAGTCCTCCTCACAGTCCCCTCAGGAGCCTTCGGTACTTCCGCGACAGGCTACTGTGGACTCGGTTGGTTTTGGAGCTGGAGGTGCAGCCACTGGCGGTACTCGGTCCGGGGGTGCTCGTTTGAGGGGTGCTGGAGTTGGAGGTGCTGGCGCAGGTGGTGCTAGCTCTAGGGGTGCTGGAGCTGGAGGTGCTGGCACAGGAGGTGCTAGTTCTGGGGGTGCTGGAGTTGGAGGTCCTGGCACTGGCGGTACACTGGACAGCTGCTGTGACGGTGGCGAAGTACCTGGCGACTACATCAGGCATGGGGCTTGTGCTTGGAGGGACTCAGCCAGTGGCGTTGACTGGTCACTGCGACTCTTCCTACGCTGACGACGTGGAGACTCAGCGCTCGACTCAGGGTTACTGCTTCAGTCTGGGTGCTGGTGCTGTGTCGTGGAGGTCTACACGGTCGTCGTCTGTGGCTACTTTCAGTGCAGAGGCAGAGATTTACGCTGGTGCCATGGCGGCACAGGAGCTTCGCTGGTTGACCTTCTTGCTCGCCGACCTTGGTGAGCGACCTCGCTCTGCACCGACCTTGTACGCTGACAACAAGGCCATGATCCTCCTCTGTCGAGAGCCTCGACTGGAGAGCAGAGTGAAGCATATTGACGTGAGGTACTTCCTTCTGCGAGAGCTGCAGCGACGCGGCCAGGCACGCCTGGACTTCGTGGCCTCAGAGGCCAGCACTGCAGACGTCTTCACCAAGGCCCTGGCGCTTCGTGACCACCACAGGTTCTGTGTGCAGTGGGGGCTTGTTGATGTAGGCCCTCGGTTGCTGTAGACTTGCTGTTTGCTCTGCTTGTTGTGCTTTGCTATATATATCATAGTGAACTCTTGAACTGGCCTTGTGGCCGCTTGCTTGTGCTCGGAATTTGTGTGGTGTCCTTGAGATCCACCCTGTGCTTGCTTTGCTTCTTGCAGTGACTGGTCTTGTGACCGTTTGTTCACCCTGCTTGCTTTGATGCCCCTCACTTAGCCTATGGGGGTGTGTCAAATGTTATTATAGGTTCTTAGGCTATAGTGAGTAGCACTATAGGGAGTACAACACTTTTAGGGTTGCTATTTGTATCCCTTGTTTCCCTAGTTCACACATTCCGTTGTTCGCTAACTTTGAGACTTGTTTCCAACAATTCTGTCCTGAGGAAGAGATGCAAACTCCCTTGGAAAGAGTCAATGTAGCTGTGTTCTCGTCTTGGCCTCTCGGAGGAGAAGACTGTATCATCCAGAGTTTCTGTTGGGCTGTTTTTTTGGCTCCTTCTCGGCTGAGAACACAATAGTCTCTTCGGATGATAGAAGTTGTCTTCTGGCCTGTTACACTTGGTGCCTCCTCCGTGGTCATAATGTCCAGAGGCAGCAACAGACTCCTTCTGCCGTCTTAGCCCCACGCCCTCCCTCTGCTCTTTTGCTCTCCCACGCTTTCTCCAGCAGGAACAGCAGCAGCACCACCAGAACGAGCACCAGCTGCGCACTATTAGCAGCAACAGCGGCACTCTGGATCAAGCGCTGGGCCTTTATCCACTTGAGACAGAATGTCTTATTGAAGCTTCCAAGAAGGTGGTTGATGATATTTAGAGCTGGGAGGATCCTGCTGCTTCATTTGTTGAGCTTCCTAAGCCTTTGTGGTGAGGGTTTTATGGGGAATATCAGCAAGCAACATCTAACAGTAATAAAACAGCAGGTTTTATTCATAGGCAGTTGGTTTCTTGAACCCGTTTCAGGGTCCCTCCTGCTCTTATTCTCGCACTCACAGCACCACAAGCAGTGGCAATACCTAACTCTTTTCACCCTGCACGCTCTTCAACATTTCCTACTCCTTCGCGAACTGACCACGCACGGCCCCATCAGGAAACCGCTTAGTGTGAATATTTCCGTAATGCCCACTAGGCTTCTTAACAATATCCTTAAGAGCCTTCAGCAGCGAATCCGATCGATCTTCCTTGTTCTTCCCGAGGGAGCCCTCGCAGCGCCACTCCTCGTCGCCCTTCTTCTCGTAATGGCAAGGCAGGTCCAGCAGCACGTCGCCGTTCTTTCCCTTCTCCCCCGTGTGCACGTGCGTCTTGGTGGGCGGCATCTCGCCTTTCAGCCGGCTGGTTTTCACCGTGTACTTCACCCACTTGGGCTTGTCGTCATCCCTGAATGGCGATGACGCCAGGGGTAGAAACATCATTGAATCACGCACGAAGGTAAAGGGATAATCAGTGAAACGCCACAGGAGAGAATTTGTGAACAGAAGAAGGATTTGGTTTGCCGATGATGTGTTCCTCACTTGCTAACATGCGTGGTAACTTGATGCTGAAGGGATATTTGGCTGGGAAATGTGACGAATCAGACACAGAGTTCTTGGCGATCGAGCAGTGTGGGAAGGAAGGGAGCAAGAGGAACTGACCAACATGCTCGTGGCTGTGTGCGATTGCGAGCATCCCCGCGAGAAAAGCTGCACACAAACAAACACGCGATACGCGGATTGAGTCCAATGCTTGATATGGATACATCGTCTTCTTCATCGTCAGGCCAATTCTGTGGCGTTTCAAAAACCTTGATGAAATAAATATCGGCAGGTGAAGCACGCGGGCGAATGGGCTACGAAACAGTTGAGAAGTTGTGAGCCAAAATGCTGTCATGGACGCTTACCTAAGAGCAAGACGCGAGCAGGAATCGAGGCCATGATGCCGAAAAATGATATTCGTCGCAGCGTTTATCAGAAAACTGCGTAATTAGAAGTAAGGCGGACTCGGAGTCACTGCTTGAGGACTAAGAGGCAAAGGATTCGAAGGCGGGTGGCCACAAAATGAATTGCTTGTTGAGTGAAATGCACCAGTTTATATAGTTTCAGTTGTAAGCCTCGCCTGGAGGGACTAGAAAGGCACGCCGCGGCAGCTCCAAAACAGACTAGGCACAGGAGCGAATTCGAGTCGCCGGAGCGATCTGTACTCGGCGTGCCACACGGCTCCATCTCACTCTGACCCTGATGCTGCTCATATAATTGCGTCTCGCTCGTTCAGGTAAGTGCCTGAGCAAGGGCAATAATGCTGTGCCGGGTCTGGCATGGACTGAGGTGAAAGAGGGAGAGCGTCTTGAGGAATTTGAGAAGTTGGTGCGGTTCAGGCCGGCGAAAAGTGGTGCTTCCAAATGTTTCGCGTGTGACGGGCAATAATTGTGACGCTGCTTGTCACGATACTGTGGCACCGTTCTGGATTAGTATGGAACCTTACTGAAGCGGAACGCAACTCATACAATCTCTACTATTGAACGCAACTCACTGCGCTCCGTGGTGCGACATGAGACATTTAGAAGGATTCGATAACCCAATTACAAGCATGGCAGACTGAGATATATTACATGAAACAGGAACAAAACTCCACACAAAACATAGAATACGAGTCCTGATCAGCTCGCCTAATAGTTCAGCCACCTGAAACTCTTCACTTGCCAAACCACAGCTGCCAATGCCTCCCTTTTTCCAACTGCCAAGAGAGGAACTCATGCAGCTCTGGATGATAGAAGCTGGGTTCTGAGCCACTCGTTTCCCTCCGCATCCCCCTCCAAAGCCTTGACCTGCGCTGCTACTGCCTTCAATGCATCCTCTGCAGTCATCTTGTCGAGAGGTAGCGATGCAAACTCCCGAAGGAACTGACGTGCTCGCCCCACTCCCTCCCTCTGCTCCTCCCCTCCCTCCCGCTTGTTGGGACAACCGAAAGGTTATCACAAGCATTCCCGAAGACTCTCCACTGTCGCATCTCTTCATAGCGAAGCAGGTGCTTGTACCAGTACCGCATGAGCTCGTATAGAGCACGCGGAAGTTCGAGGGTCACCCGAAGGTCAACAGTCGAAGACAGTCAACGGTCGTGACCCTTGACTGCCCAGTAACCGCACAAGGCAGTTGCGAAATGCAACATGGCAACTGTCTAGAATGGCAATAGTCGCGGGTTACTGTAGCAATGCAATTCAGTTAATAAGGGAATGTACCCCTCAGATGACATGGCTAGCTAGGCTTTCTATTTATACTCTTGTACTCCTATCTTATAATCATCTTGTTCTCTTTCAATTTATTAACAAGGTCATTACAGAGACTTCACAGTTCTCTCCCATATACTTGGCAACCTTATCCTATCCACTACGATTCTTAGTTATAACATCACCGCTTACGCTTGGCTGCACCAGCACCCGCACCAGCACCCGCGCCAGCACCAGCAGCAGCAGCGGCACCATGAGCAGCACCAGCATCTGTATCTGCACCAGCAGCAGTGCCATGAGCAGCGGGAGGGGCAAAGTCTTCGAGCTCCTGTGCCTTGGCTCGTGCCATGGCCACCACCTCGGGAGGGAAGTGTGCAAACTCCGCCACGTGGATGCCAAAGCTCTGATCACACGGACCCGGTTGCACCTGGAGGGGGTGAATGAGTGACAATAGCAAATGCTTTAATCCAATGAGGAGGAAGCCCTGCTAAGGGAGGAAAGCGCTGCTACGGGAGGGAAGTGTGCAAACTCCGCCACATGGATGCCAAAGCTCTGATCACACGGGACAGGTTGCACCTGGAGGGGGGAGGGGTGGAGGGGGGTAGGAGGGGTGGGCAAAAACAATGATGTATTTATACACACATATATGCAGTGATCTCTGAGATTTGTGATATTTGTGATACCAAATAAACAAACAGTTGTCGAAGCAGAGAAATAACACTCTATCGCTTTTTGAGGAAGCAATTATGGAAACGCGTAAGAAAGGGCAAAGAAAAAGGACCAGCAGTGGGTGTAGCGACCCAGTTCATTACCTTGTAAAGCATGGTGAGCTTCCTGGAAGCTTCGTCGATGTGTGCGCTGACGTGGAAGTTGGCAACCCCACTGGAAGCATCTCGGGTCTCGAGAGCCGTGAGCTCGTGAAAGTGCATGGCGAAGAGGGTGGGCGCTCTGGTGACGTCCACTAGATGCTCGCAGATAGCCCAGGCGAGACCTGGTGGGGGGGGGAGTGGTGGGTGGTAAGGCAAGAGAGCCGTGAGCTTGTGAAAGTGTGTGTGGCGAAGAGGGTGGGCGCTTTAGTGACGTCAACCAGATGCTCACAGATAGCCCAGGCAAGACCTGGTGGGGGAAGGGAGGGAGATTGTGGGGGTAAAACAGACAGGATTGAAAAGGGCAGGGTCTCGAGGGCCGTGAGCTCGTGAAAGTGCGTGGCAAAGAGGGTGGGTGCTCTAGTGACGTCCACTAGTTCCTCGCAGATAGCCCAGGCAAGACCTGCAAGGAGATTGGAGGGGAACAAGCAGGGTGGCGAAGAGGGTGGGCGCCCTGGTCACGTCCACTAGATGTGCACAGATGGCCCAAGGAAGAGCTGGTGGAAGCGGAATCGAGGCGGTGTAAAACAGACAGGGCAGGAAAGCGACGATGACAAGAGGCAGGGTCTCGAGAGCCGTGAGCTTGTAAATCTCCCACCTTCATCCCTTATATCCAACCTCCTACCTATGTGCTAGCTTTAATCTCCCAACGCTCATCAAAGGCAGCATGCACTGAGGCCAGCACTCACCCAAACCATCATAGGCGGACGTTCCGCGGCCCCAGCTCATAGAGAATCACCAGCGAGTGCGGCGTGGCAGCATGCAGGATGGCTGCTGTCTCCAGCCAACACTCTTTGGGCATTTTAACTGAATCAGGGGCGGCACTCACCAAAGCCATCGTACGTCGACGTGCCCCTCCCTAGCTCGTCATAATGACCAGCGAGTGGGGCGTGGCGGCATGCAGAATGGCTGCTGTTTCCAGCATTTCAGCCATGAAGGTACTCACTCCCCTCAGCTGGAATTGGGCAGGGAGGAGAAACACCGAGAGAGGGAAGGAAGACAACAAACGGCAGGTAAGTTGTCTTTGCCGTCAGATTGCAGCTGTTTCGAGCATTTCTGCCATGATCGTGCTCATCCACTTTTGAGATGAGCATTCCATCTTGGGAGTTGGAAGGGGGGAGTTGGAACTTGGGAGGGAGATGATCGTGCGCATCCACTTTTGAGACGTTCAAAAGTCGCATCCATGTGACTTCCTTTTGACTTTCCCCCTCCCAAGTTCCAACTCCCCCCTTTCAACTCCCCCCTTCCAACTTACCCCCTCCGAAACCCCGCTCGCCCATTTCATCTCCCCCCTCACCTTCCATCTCCCCCCTCACATTCCATCTCCCCCCTCACATTCCATCTCCCCCCTCACCTGGCAATCCCCAGCGCCCACACGGGCGAGGATAGTTGTCAAACATACTAAGTAGTCGGGCCTAGGCTTAGTAGCCTAGGCCACAGGAAGACTAGAACGAGGCGTCAAGTACGAGCGAGAGTTGTGTGCACGAACAGAAATGAGGAAGGAATGATTGGACTAGCAAGCAGCAGGATACAAATAGCAAACCCTAAGGGGCTGTACTCACTATTGAGTACCCCACTGCAGGCTACACAAACAACATATTCTGACACACCCCCATAGCCAAAGTGGGGTGTAATCAGCACAATGAGCAGTCATAGCAATAGTTCACAATTAATGAGCAGAGCTAGAGGCAGTCACAGAGGGCAAGTGAGGAGGAGGAGGGACTGCGAGAGGAGAGAAGATGGGAGGCGACGACTGAAGCTGCAGACACACGGGCAACAGGAGTGCGCACTCAGTGGCTACCGGGAGCTAGTGCCCCGGAATACAGGAGTAACAGGCTCTGCGGCTGCGACGAGCGGCAGGAGCAACGGACCCACGGGCGACAGGTGCAGCAAGCTCTCTGAGCTACCAGCGGCCACTAGAACCCCGGACTACAGGCGCTGCGGACGACACGACGACAGGCTCCACTCAACCTCCTCCAACTGTCCCACACCCCCCCCCACACACCCCCTGCTGCACCCCTAGCTCCACTCCCACATCACCCCCCTAGCTCCACTCCCCGCGGCTCCCACACCTCCACCCCCCTCAGCAGCAGCTGCAGCAGTGGGAGACGAAAAAAGGAGGAGGGGAAAGGGAAGGGGAGCACCCACACCTCGCACCCCCATGCTCGCCACCCCACACCCCCACCACCGTGGAACGCACGGCGGAATGGGAGCAATGGGCAGCACGGGGGGGGGGGGGGGGGGGGGGGGGGGGAACGGGACGGGCTGCAGGGACGGGCCGCGGGCTGCTGCAGGGGCAGCTGGCGCGGGTCTTGGGGCGGCTGCTGCAGGCACGGGCTGCTCCAGGGGCGGCTGCTGCAGGTGCGGGCTGCTCCAGGGGCGGCTCCAGGGGCGGCCGCTGCAGGTGAAAGGTAGGAGGAAGGGGGGGGGGGAAGAGCGCGGCCCCCAGGGCGCCCCGACGGGCGACGAGAAAGGGAGCCGCGCGGCCCCCCAGGGCCGCCGCGACGGGCGACGGGAAGGGCGCCGCGCGGGCCCCCAGAGCCGCCGCGACGGGCGACGGGAAGGGCGCCGCGCGGGCCCCCAGAGCCGCCGCGACGGGCGACGGGAAGGGCGCCGCGCGGGCCCCCCGGAGCGCCACGACGGGCGACGGGAAGGGGAGGCCGCGCGGCCCCCGTGGTCGCCACGACGGGCGACGGGAGGGGACCCCGCGCGGGCCCCCTTGGTCGCACGACGGACGACGGGAGGGGGGGCCGCGCGGGCCCCCGTGGTCGCCACGACGGACGACGGGAGGGGAGGCCGCGCGGGCCCCCGTGGTCGCCACGACGGACGACGGGAGGGGAGGCCGCGCGGGCCCCCGTGGTCGCCACGACGGACGACGGGAGGGGAGGCCGCGCGGGCCCCCATGATCGCCACGACGGACGACGGGAGGGGAGGCCGCGCGGACCCCCGAGGGCACCACGACGGGCGCCACGGAGGGGTAAGCCGCCACGCGCCCCGAGCGCGTGGCGGGTAGAAACCCTAATGTCGGCGCCGCGCACCACGGGGCGCGCGGCGGACAGTACGGCAGCGGAAGCAGGTGGTGGGCCCATACACAGGAAGGCGGCAGACATGCCACCCTCTGATACCATGTCAAACATACTAAGTAGTCGGGCCTAGGCTTAGTAGCCTAGGCCACAGGAAGACTAGAACGAGGCGTCAAGTACGAGCGAGAGTTGTGTGCACGAACAGAAATGAGGAAGGAATGATTGGACTAGCAAGCAGCAGGATACAAATAGCAAACCCTAAGGGGCTGTACTCACTATTGAGTACCCCACTGCAGGCTACACAAACAACATATTCTGACAATAGTATCTTTGGTGCTCACGTGTGTCCCCCTCTCCCAGTCATCCTCTCGTCATCACCTGCCAGTCACCCCCCCTCCCCCCCTTACCTGCCAATCACCAACGTCCACACGGGCTAAGATGACGTTTCGGATGCTCACATGAGTACCAGCCAAACCACCTGTTTCTCACTCCCTCCCTTCCCCCCTCGGTCCACTCCCCCTTTCCCCATTCCCCCTCCCCCCACATCTGGCAATCCCCAGCGCCCACACGGGCAAAGCTGGGGTCTCGAATGCTCACATGTGCCCCGTGAATTAAGGTTATTTCTGAGACGTCTCAAATATAACCTCTCCCACTCGTCCTCTCGCCGTCACCTGCCCTTCATCCCTCCTTCACCCTTCCCCTCCCCCCTCCCCCCTCCCCCCTACCTCCTCCCCCCTCACCTAGCAATCCCCAGCGCCCACACGAGCAAAGATGGCATCTCTGATGCTCACGTGTGCGCGGGAGCAAGGCACGAATGACCCCACCTGTGCCATCAGCACCACCACTCCCACCTGCGGCACACACGCAGGGAGATGGAACTTGTAGTGAGGATGAGGAGGACATGTATGGAGGCGAGAGAGGGTTGAGCAGAGGCTTGATTGCAATCGAAGGTCGACAGTACCACTACCACTACCACTACCACTACCACGCAAGCATGCCGGCTAGAGGTACACTATCAAGTTCATTCGTTCCTTAGACTCGGTTTCATATTGTAGGCGCCGCAGATCTAGTTTCACTAACACGCAGCTCTTCTCAACACACAACGCACCTGGCGAATGAAGGTTGACTTGCCGCCCATGTTGGGCCCTTAAGTGACGTATTCTCCAACCCGAAACGTGTATGTGACCTTTATGCAACACACCTGGCGTGAAAAACATACCTGGCGTATGAAGGTTGACTTGCCGCCCATGTTGGGCCCTGTGATAACTTGGAACCAGCTGCGACCCCTCTCCTGTTGTGATGGGGTGGTGAGGTTGTAAGGTTGGGAGGTGAGGGTGGTAAGCTGGCATTGAAACAGCACAAAACTCTGCAGGGACTGAGAGGTACCACCGGGCTCTGTGATGATATGAAACCAGCTGCGCTCCCTCTCCTGGTGGGGTGGGGTGGTGTGTGTATGGATGAGCGGGTGCATGGGTGTGTGAGTGGTTGGTGGGGTGGCTGGTGGGTGGGTGGGATGCACTCAAGGCTGGTCACTGGTCATCAAGATGAGATGCGGTACAACGAGGTACAGTATGGTAATGGATGGCAGATGGCTGCAGATAGGGGATGGGAGATGGGAGGAGATAGATGAAGACTGGTAACTCACCAGGCGGCAGTGGTTGGGGATGAAGCTGACGTCATCCTGCACCTCCACACATGGATGGCGGCTGTCCTCCAACATTAGGCCGCCCTCCTCCCGATGCCATCAGTTGTTCCATGCCATGCGAGGGAGGAGGGCGGAGGAAGGGAGAGAAGGGGGAATGAGAGCGGAGCAGGGGACATGGAAACACTGCCCCTCCACACATGGATGGCGGCTGTCCTCCAACATTAGGCCGCCCTCCTCCCGATGCCATCAGTTGTTCCATGCCATGCCATGCCATGCGAGGGAGGAGGGCGGAGGAAGGGAGAGAAGGGGGAATGAGAGCGGAGCAGGGGACATGGAAACACTGCCCCTCCACACATGGATGGCGGCTGTCCTCCAACACTAGGTCGCCCTCCTCCTGATGCCATGCCATGCCATGCCATGCCATGCCATGCCATGCCATGCCATGTATGCCATGTGTATGCCATGCCATGCCATGCCATGCCATGTCATGCCATGCCATGCCATGCCATGCCATGTATGCCATGTGTATGCCATGCCATGCCATGCCATGTATGCCATGTGTATGCCATGCCATGCCATGCCATTTATGCCATGCCATGTATGTCATGCCATGTATGCCATGTGTATGCCATGCCATGTATGCCATGCCATATATGCCATGTGTATGCCATGCAAGCCATGCCATGCCATGTGACGCGCCAAGAGATGGGAAGAAGGGGGAACAAGAAGGAGGAGGGGAGAGGACAGAAAAGGGAAGAAAAAACAACAGGGCAAATATGGAAGGCAATAGGGCATGGGAGCAACAGGTCACTGGCCACGTTGCGAGTTTGCAAGGCACGCATTTTGTGCTCCAAAGATTGCAATAAGCTTATTTTTGAGTAGACTCAAAATGGGTCACTGGCCACGTTGCAAGATTGCAAGGCACACACTTTGTGCACCAAGGAACGCGGTAAAAAAAAGTGCGATGTTTTTTCTCACCAGCCCTCCAAGGTTTGTACTGGGCCTGAGATGGAGGGTCGGACTTAGGGAGTGGGTGCCGAAGCTGCAAGCTCAGCAAATCCCTGAAGCACGTCCATTTCGGCAATGAGTGCTGCCACGCCCTCAAACACCTGTGGGCATGAAGGACAATGAAGG